AAAATCGATGGTGCGAATTCTAGACATCGATGACTTAAGTACACACAGTCGACATGTAGATCAAATACATTTTCAGGAACCAGGTGAGTCAGTTCCAATTTCGATTGTTAATTCTAATGCTAATGAGCATATTCTAGATAATACAGAATCCTTATCCAATACAATGTCAGACAGACTCAGGATGAATTTGAGAAGAAGACGTACGATTGATTACAAACACCTAGACTTCAATTTAAGCTGTGGCGGATGTGATGTTTGAATGAACCAATGATACCTTTGTACTGGTTGAATGTTTGATTTCGAATTCTAAATACAGTACATTCGTTGTGCCTGTGTCTTCTTAATTCAATTGCGTTAATCCTGGAATTCCTAACTCATACGACAATTAGAATACTATAGGGATGTTCTCTGTTCTGTCGTGGAGGAAGGCAAAACAGTAGAATGTATCGCGTGAGAAAGGGGGGGAAGAAATATTTTGGTATGTACATACATATGAACAAAATAAAAATGAGTTATACGGCTCTGTGTGGCACATGATGTGTACAGGAATAAAAATTCTACATCGTGCTGTAAGTAAGCACCGTACATATTATATAGAAAGACTAGTTTCTAAAATCCTTTTGAACGATTGGCATGTCTGTAGTGACCTACTTTTATCAAGAGAACGCGATTGGCTTGATGGAAACAATCACTATTTAACCAACTGTACCAGTGATTGTTTTACTGTGCTTGTTTGCTTAACTGTATGTAATGTTTCGAATTATTTGAATTATAGTACGAAATAAGAGTCCTAGAAATAACGCAATTGAATTAACAAGTAAGACACAAGCACAAACGAATGTATTGTATTTGGAATTCGAAATCGAGCATTCAACAAGTACAAAGGTATCATCAGTTCATTCAAACGCCACACTGTACTCAAGACACCCATTACTCCTCCATTATTCTTCCGTTGACTGTGACCTTGTACGCTCGCAAGTTCGCCCATTGATTCCACTTGTATTTCCCTTGGCACGATCTTGGTATACTTTCGATACCATGAGATCGCCAACGAATAAATCTGGTTGCAATCTCCTTTCGCCTTCTGATTTTCTGGTACGCGCTCATCTTGTAGTGGTGATCATAGTCCAACGCGACTCGACGCCAAACCACATGTCTGTCAGATCTGGATATTCTTCTATGAGACAGTAACAGACACTGGTATAGATACTGCAGATGATTCGGTTGATGCTGTAGTTACTCAGAGCCACAATTTTGTCATCCTTCGCATCTTACTTGGTCAGGCTTCAAGTTTCTAACCTTTCTATATAATCCTCAAAATCTTCAGGATTTGAGTGTATGTTCAACTAATCCCTCACAGGCTCCATACCAACGGCAATGTGAAAATTATAGGTATTTGAAGTGAGACTATAACCAAACAAGTATAAGATAGTAAGTCTCGGATTTTGGAGCTAAATTCATTAATCCGTTTGACTAAATACCGTTTCGGCATATTAGCTTATCCCAGTTCGTGATGAAAACAATGAATCGGATTCCTAAACTTAACCATCAACTATAAATCATAACTCTAATTCCTCACACTGGTTCATAACCCTCATTTGGTCCTAACCATCAACTATAAATCATAACTCTAATTCCTCACACTGGATCATAACCCTCATTTGGTCCTACTTATTAGTGGACAGTATCAATATCACTGCAGCGCCGCTCAAAGGTCAGCCATAAATTATAGTTTCACCGTATTTGAATTAATATCCCACTCAAAACGTCTTCATAGGTGACAGGTATGACAAGATAGGTACAGTCAGCATATATAGCCAAACATGCTTTTATGGATGCCAATGAGATAAAAAAAAGATTTCTACATTACAGCCTGTCTGAGTGTGGTGTTTTTATGAACCAGTGATTCTTTTGTATTTGGTGTTCGCCTGATTTCGGATTCTAAATACAATATGTTCATTTGTGCTACCCTACTTCTACAGATTCTAAATTACATTATTTCGGGAATTTCTAGTTCATATACCAATCCAAATACTCCTACTTATCTCATTGGCATTGCGATTGAGCCTGCGTTGGAATAGTTGGACATACATTCAAATTCTAAAGCTTTTAGAGATTATAATGAAGAGCTCGAAATCTGGAGCATGACCAAGGAAGATGTTGAGTACGTTATTTTTAACGCTCACTTACATTCATCGGATAAGAAGCCTAGAGCTTATTAAAAATTTTGGCATTCTCACAAAAGCCTAATTCACTTCTTTAATAAACTCTCAATGAACTACTACCTGACCATGTAAAGTGAACAAATTTCGAATACTGTAAAGGAGAAATAGCTCATGAAATGACTCGTTAGGCCATAATTTATTCCACGACATAACTACGTCATCTCAATCCAATGCATACTCATGTTGAGGCAGATAACAATTCATTGAGGTGTCGTGATGCAGGTCACGAAGCTAAGTACAAATTTAATAAATGTTCGCCCTGAAGCAAATCTTTCACATAAAATGCATATGTATTTTGTAATGCTGAACGCCCCGAATATGGTAAAACTGAACAAACACCGGTAGTTTGTGATACTGCTGTTCATTTCGCTTCAGGTAATGCTGAACTTTGTGATTTCGATCCTAGTAAGTTGAATGTTTCAAATGAATTGTACTTTGATTAGATTCACGATATCATTTTACTAGACATGCTTCGATCCAGAGGTTTATGTACTTTGAATGAAATTATTAACATTCATTTAAGTCAGCTCACCAAATCTAATGCGGTCAGCATTAAATGTCGAACACTTACAGAACTATTTATTTTAGGGGCTGGTTTACAGATACAGATTACTCTCTCCCTGGCGGGGTGGTGATGATCCTAGGGCGAGGCAGAGCAGAAGTCTAAACTCAACGAGTTCGTCGTTGATAAACACTCTTCTGGTGGGTTGTTACGTTCAGCAGCATCTGGTCGTCTTTCCATACTATAAGGGGCCATGTAGTACAATATAGTAACGAGAAACAAGTAGAGTGTAAATTTTGCATTACCGTAATCTCCACCGGTTTTCTATATTTTCCAGCCGTTCTTGAAAATAAAAAATTGATATCCAAGTCCATGTAAACTGATATCGGCCATAAGCAATAAAAATATGTCCGAGAAAATCTAAGGAGTCGGTGACACTTTGACATTTTTGGATGTTTACAGTAATGTCTTGTTTTTGCAGCCGTTCGAAGGCAAGGTCCAGATGCTGGAGATCGGATTCTCTGTCTGGACTTGAGACCAGGCAGTCATCAACATACACATGTCTGACGTTAAGACCTCGGGAAACGCCATCGATTAATCTCTGGAATATTTGTGTAGCATTTCTTGACTCGGAAGACAAGCGCAAAAATTCGTGAAGTTTAAACGGGGTGATGATAGCGGATTCAGGAATATTGTCGGGAGACATGGGAATTTGGTAATAAGCCTCAACCAAGCCGATTCCCAAAAATACGGTTATACCTTTCAAGGCCGCTATCAAATCGTGAATGTGAGGCGACGGGTGACGATCAGGAATGGATTTGCACTTAGTCGCCGATTGTCATCAGTTGGACGCCAATCATCTCTGCCCTCTTTGGAGATCGTGCGCAAGAGAGTTCCCATGGGCTGTTTGATGGCCGAATGATCCCTAAATCTATCATGTGATTGAATTCATTTTCAACCAACCTCAGATTTTCGTACGCTATTCGGAGCGCCTTCGAGAAAACAGGTGGTCCTGTCGCCGTGATTTGATTTGCAATATTGCTGGCTACCCATGGCAATTTTGGTTGCGTTTGGTATTGCTTGGGGTACTCATCGAGTAATTGTTGGCATTATGGATCGATCGTGTGTCTTACTGTGACTGGGGATGATCTACAACCGGAAAATGAAGTTACACAAACAAATAATTCAGTATTGCCATCTACTAACTTCGTGTCGATGAGCAGATTATGGTGTTGTAACAGGTCTATACCAATGGTTGGCATAGGAATATCTGCAACAATAAAGGTCTGGTGGACGGGTTTGTGCAGACCAAAGTTAAGATAAACACACCGCTTACTATATGTGGCGATCGGTTTCTGATTTGCCACATGTAAGTTGTAAACTGCTTCACGCAGTTAGTCGTTCGAATTTGCTGGAACAGTGCTGACGTCTACACCAGTGTACAGGGACCAGCGGAATTTAGGGCCCTAGACATTGCAGGATTTTCTGCTATTTAGGGGAGATTATTCATACTTATAATGGTACCAGCGCTAACTAGGGCTATCTGTCCCTTGTGATCAAAAGTCAGATCATTTTCGTGAAGTACTCCTTCAGATTGCAAAATAATGTATCAGATTATGACAGTTCTGTGACGTCATTTCTTGTTGTTTGAAGTTTTTATTTGATTGAACAGACCTTGGTTCTGGAAGCTCTGTTCATCTCAGGAATCCGGTCAGCAGATGTAGCCAGTTCGTCCACAGTGTTATTTTGTAATGATACCAACACTGTCCGCTCCTAACAGGGAAGCTTGGACAAGGAGAGTAGTCTAAACCGGCCCTCATCAAAGGTCTATTGACCCCTGACATGTCTTTTGCTAAGTTCTATTGCAGCTCAGTGATGTTGGGTGCCTATGTAGATCGATCACATGACGAATAGCCTTTGTCAAAGTTTCGTCAGGTTCTGAAACAACCCCAATAAACATTTCGGGTGAAACATACCTGTTGACTTCGTGTAGCAGTTCCTTAACTACTGCAAGGAATTGTGCACGTGGGTGTGAAGCTCCATGCCCGTGAAAATCAGCTTCTCTGTAGCAGAACCAGGCGGCGAAATTTTCGGGCAAGTATGGCATTAGCTGAAATGAGGGTAACGTAAGAGATCTAATCTAATCTAATCATTTACGACTCCGTGATGTGTTAATCGTAATCACTGATTCTGACCTTGTACATATCTGCATGTGATGTTAAAAATTGAAACTAATATATCTAAAGCCGCTTGTATAATGGTGGGAGGTTTACATCTCAAGGTCGTCTGGCAGACTTTATACATGTGAAGAGTCCGTCCAATTTTGCTTCTTACTATAATTTGATCGGTTTGTTCCCAGCAACTAGTTCGTTATTGTACCCCTCACCATCTTCTTTAATTCAATACCTTTTCCTGTGTCATCAATTTTAGAATAACGTGATTTTTAAACTTTTACCCAAGGAACCGAAGAAGCAGAAATAAAAACGAACAAGGGATAATTAAGGGGAACATTCCGTCATAAAATCAAGCAGAAATAAAGAGGGATTTCTACGTCTTTGACTCAGCTGACTACAGCCTCATTTCTTTGAAGTCATCAGTCTCCATATATCAGCGTACAGAAATATAGATGCATATCTAATGTCTTCAGTCAGGGAGTTAAAGTAAGTAAAATTTTGGTTTCACTGAATTCGCTATCATTGGTTTAATTGTATTCATTTGTGAACTTACCATACTAAGTAGACTTAATCATATTCATTCAACGAACTGGCTTATTTGTGGAGTCGTATTCTAGGGTCCCCACTAGTTGATATGCATCTAAGATTATAATCATTCGATTGTCAACTGAGGCTCTGAAACGACGAAGCATCTACGTTTCCAGCCTGATGTGAAGTTTTTCCAAGCATTATATTCGATACATCTTGTGTGTGCATCGAGGCCATACTTTAGGCTTGATTTAAGTACCATAGTTCACTTAGTGGATGTTTCGATTGGTAAGTATGGTAAAAAAGTGAGCATTTCGCTTCTGAATATATTGCTCCGATTCTTAGTACAATACAGATGCTCATGTCCAGTTATTTTCTGTCATGATTACGGATGAGATCTATCAGGAATTTCCAGTTCCCCTATTATTAGAAGTTAGCATGTTTATTTATCTATAATTCGTAATCTCATCAAACGTTGTAAACATTCAATTCTATCCGTGATGTTTATGAGTTCAACAATGGTATCTATCTTGGCTTATAAAAAGTTATTTCCAAATTTATGGTTTATTTTGTGTGGAAATGCTCTTTATCATTTTACTGTAGAGAATCACCAGTGGCCTCAGCTCAAGCGTATGTTTTACAGTTTAACACTGAAGACCGAATATGGCTACCAAGTGGTGGGACACGCTCACTTTCATGGGTTCAAATTTTACAGCAAAAAGGTTTAGATGCTTATCGTATCGTAGGTTGGCGTCAGCCAGATAATCAGGTAGGTAATATATTTTGCGAAGTTTTGGACCTTAAGAAGAGCATAATGAAATGCTACTAACATTTCCTATCATACATGTCCGTCTTTTTTGTTTTGCGTTACGTATTTGCGTAGCAGTATTTTAAAAAATATTCTGGTTATACGAATTTCAGCTTATTTTGTGTAATTCGCCTGATTTACCACGCATAGTACGATTCAAAGCTTTCGTTTGTTGGCTAGATAAACATGAAATCAAAGAAAACCAGTTACAACACGCGTTTTTATAATCTAAGTTTATTGCAACAAACACATGTAAGAAGAATGAAGTTTCAGCGAATAAAATGTTCGATGATACCATTTTCTGAAGATGTACAATGGCATTTATGGGTAATTTTTTTACATGTAGTAGTCTATAGTAAAATAGAGGTGTTTACAAAATTATCGAATATAGTCAAGCTTATTCAATTGGAGGTCAATCAAAATGAAATGGTGTTGTTTAATATAGTCGAGGTTGTCAAAAATCCTCAAGTATTTCAAGACTCTACTAATTCTCCTATTTTTGCTTATCTTTATGAATAACGTGGCACTTCTCTTTTGTACAGCTAGTATTATGTTCATTTGTGTCAACTATTAATCCCGTAGTGTTCATACAAATTTAGTGGTGTAGTGAAAAATAACTTGCAAAGATACTAAGCGCCCAGATTTCAGTTTAATATTAAAAGCTGTATTCCACCTACTTTACGTGGTAGCGTTGGAAACTGGTAGCTCAATTTTATCTACTAAAATATGGATCTAAAACTCTTTTTTCTTTTAACTAGTTATATGCATTTTTTGTTCGTTGCATGCTCCTTTTTTAACTACGTTAAATTCTAGTAATAAAGATTTGTACGGTAAGAACTCTTGTTGAGAAACTATGGCTTTGTACTTAAATATTAGGTCTCAGGTTTAAATAGCGCTGCACCTAGTATGGTTTGACCAGCTGTTGGGTATGTGAAGCTCCCAAATACAACTTGTTAGTAAAAACCCACTATCTATTTTTGGCAAATGTAAAATCAACTTTCAATACATTTTCATGACATTGATTTATGGGAGTTCAATGCGTTTTCATTGTACTTCATGTTTAGTATTAGTTACTCTTCATAAATTGTAATCATTAAAACCAATAATGTAATCGATTAACTTATATGCATTTTTAATTCTTCTGGGGTCATCATCGGCAAGGCTTTAATTACGAAACTGAACGTCATACTCTGGTTAGCAGAACAGTGAATACATGAGTAGTTTCGTTCACTATATTGAGGTGGGAGTTGCGAAATAGTGTTTTGGTGCACGAACATATCAACAACGGAGTAATATCCATAGTTCCCATTCAAACAGCATGACTCAAAGCTGAGTACGTAAACCTGAGCTTCACTGCATCAGGTGTCGGCGTTTCATAATGAGCTCTTAAGTATATCATACGAATGGTGTTTATAATACAATCGTGCACCTAGTGATCCTGTGTGTTTGATAGTGGGTTTACATTTTTTGAATAGTTGTAATGTAGAAAAAAATTGTTGTTTATCGCTCCCTAAACTTTTTAATGGTTCTTCAATCGATAATATCCTATAATAAAAACGATCCTATCTTAGTCGAGTTCAATTCAGAATCATACGGTTACTACTAAGTAAAATGTTGAATTTCACAAATTTTATTACTTTTTTTTCATTACCATCTTGTATTGATCAGTTCTTTTAATGTTTCGTGTGTACATATGTACTTCATTACTATTTATTCAAATGTACAACGAATAGTAATTGTTGCTAAAAAAGTTTTTAAAACCTAACTATTTGTATTGGAATATTATCATCAAATAGTGATTAACATCAAGCTCATTACATAATACTGTTTTGCTTTTAAGTAAATGATTAAGGATAGTAGGACCGGCTTATAGGTTGTAATAAAACTGAGACAGTATTCGGATGTTAGGGTGCATGCACGAACTATATATAATATTTGAGTGAACGAGAACTCAAGTGGGGACACTCAAATGTATTTCAACACAAAATTACAAAATCTCTTAGTAAAATCTGAGAACCATACAGTAAATTTCTCATTTGCAAAATGTCATTCAGTTATCTCGGAATTGACTGACTCTTCTTTTCCACACCAATCACTTTCTGTTCTTGTTCTTTTCTCTTCGATCTTCTTAACCTTCTGCCGCCAAGTATTTCACTTTCAATTGATGATACATAGTACTTATATCTGTCGACATCAGTAGCACACACCACAATATTATTCAAACTAGACAAAAACTGGATGGCAACACATATTAAACAATCTGTTAAAATGATGATAACAACGAAGTACAAGCACGAAGTCATGCTTATAAACATGTTATTTTATTACATGAAAAATCTATTACGGCTAGTGGTCTTGTCTTTGATCTCAAACCATTCATCAACAATACAGCCTCGGTAGCGGTCACTACTCAACCTCAACATATTATTGCGATAGCATCATTTATCAACTAACATTCTTTCTTATATTTTAACAGTCACCAATTCGCTTCATCAGAAATCGTGAAATCCTACTCTCTGACAGGTTTGAAGTCGTAAGCTTTCTTTTTTTACTATGAAAAGCATTTGACCCAGAGAGTATATGATCTGGTAAACAACTAACGTCTAATCTACCTTTGAATTATCTAGTTACATTTGGTTTAGTTCAGTCCTTCTATGTCACCAAAAGATATGTCCGCTTTCCAGGAGGAATGGGTGAACATCCTGGTAGACCTGAACAGATCGATCTATCAATCTGTAGTTAAATAATCAAATCAAAAGTGTTGAATCCATACTAAAGCATCTAGTTCTAAAGACATGATAGATGAAGTTCTGGATAACATATTCTTATTCGACCAGATAACAGTAAATGCATCAGACTTCATACCGAAATACTTTAAAGTATTTATACACTTCATTTTTCCCTGAATAAATTAGAACAGGTTCTTATTCTCCGAGAAAAAGGTCTCGAAACATTACTTATTACAATCTCAAATAAATATTCCTCTTTTTTTCTTGTTCAATTCAGCAAAAAATATAAGCACTCGTATTTAATGTTAGTTTTGTAATCAAATTACTAATTCACAATCTCCTACTGGTTTTGTTGTTTATGTTTAACAAAGTGAATAAGTATTTTGTCTTCCTTCATCCACCTACATTGATTTGATCGTCTATCTTCTTGTTTAACTTATGTATGTGTGTATAGTTTTATTTGTCATATAATTGTAAGTTTTATGAAGAGCAACACAGATTTTCTATAACTTTGCCTAAAGGGAAGACAACATTTTATGCATTAAGCGTAATGGAATTATTTAAATAACATTTACAATTTATTTCAAATAAAAGGCATACATGAATAAATATCTGAATTTAGTGATGGTATTTTGTATTATCCGTTTATCATTGCACAACCACTAAAATGTATACTTTGGCAAACTTTGCAATGCATCATTGAAATTGTTTTAATGTACATGTGTACGTGTGTGTGTGTTCATATTCATTAGAGTAGATTTTGTCCTCTTTCCGGTTACTGTGATTAACTAATAATAGTATTTATTGTTTTTTTTTGGACAGGAGGGATAATGGTAAATTCGTTGTTGTGTGTAAAAATAATTATTGGACTGTATTAATCACATACTGGGATGTCATTTATCAGTTGTTTTTCCTTGCTTACTTGTTCAGTTACAGATTCACTATTTATCCAGTAATAAGTATGGGCATAAAGATAGCTTTAATTTTGTTTTCTATTCAACCATCGTTTTATTTTTTCTAAGACAGATTAATAATAAATACTAATAAACAAATGTAATCAACTAATCTAAATAATGTTTACCTGAATTTGATTGATTGTACTATTTTCCGACATGTACTACGTGTGCCTAACCCTACCATATACCTTGACGCGTGATGTTTGCTAGTGTAGGACCAGGTTGGAAAAAAGCTAGGAGATCACCGAACCGGGATATGACACCAGCTCATGAAGACATTAACTGTTAGACTGAGTCCTATTGGTAGGTTCGGGTTGTCTAATTAAGGTCTCGTGGTAACCGGGATCAGTGGTCGGAGACGTTGAATGACATCGCTCAGAATCGTTCACAATAGCGCCGACGCATCCACTCTTTGTTTCAAAATACTCATAATTTTTAATTTAAATATCCTTTTTGTCGAATGTTACTGTTTTTTGCCTATTACCACTAATACTGTTACTACTTTTATTAATCTGGGATTTGTTTTGATAACTTCATCTTGCTTTGACTATATGTTGTGGCAACTTGAACCTATGGTGCGCGTAATTACCAGGTTCTGTATTTCTCAGGATTGATTGTGTTATTTTAGTTGGAATATGTTTATATTTACATTTCTACCTCAGTTAACAGAATATTTGTTCGCTTAATGATTAGATCATTTACTTTCCAACCACTTAAATCTCAGGTTTAAACTTCACTTCTATTGGAGCAACTGCAATAGTAATCCTCGCACACACAACTTAAAGCTAGGTACATCAACGATTTTTGCTAATATTGTCAACAGTTGGATACTGAAAAGTTCTAGAGATATTGTATTAGCCGCATTTCGTATCTTCTAATATAGTTATTAAGTTAGAGAGGCTACTTTTCGTTTGTCTAAATTATATTCTTAATTTATGTACTCTTTAATACTTAACCGAACACTTGAACAATATACTCTATGTTTGTTTTTCTTACGGACTGATTATGGTACAGTTGTTTTTTGAGTTCCATCTACCGTTTGGTTGGTACTGAAGTAGGCTCAACCTTAGAACCTCGTATCTGGCTTTGATACCACGATATCAGTAGTAACTAATTTAACAACGAGTTTAGCCTAAGTTTAATTGTAGTAAGATAGAGTTCTAGTGAAATTCCTACTATGCTGTATAACTCCTGATGTTGATCTAGGCTAGGTGTGATATATAAAGAAATTTATAAAAACATTTTAATGGTTACTGTTAACTTGTCAAATTCAGAT